TGTCTGTGTGTGTGTGTCTGTGTGTGTGTGTGTCTGTGTGTGTGTGTGTCTGTGTGTCTGTGTGTGTGTGTGTCTGTATTGTGTGTCTCCCCACAACTTTCCATTGACAAGATCAGGCAAAGGGAGAGAGTTTCACACCTTTCTTTCTGTCCAGATGCCTTTTGTTCCTTTTTCTTCCTCAGCTGCCCTGGCGAGACCCCCGCACAGCATGCAGTGGGAGTCGTGAGAGGGGCTCTTGACTTTGCCCCGACCTCGGGGAGCACGCCCAGTCCTTCCCCACCAAGTGGAACGCAAGCTTCCTGCAGATGCCATCAGCCTATCCCACCCCAACGGCCAAGGCCACAGCCCCACCTGATGCCCTGCCCCCCCCGACACACACACCACCAGAGGCAGCCAGGCAGGGAGCTCCTGCTGTGATCCCAGGGACCCCACTGCTGCCAGAGGACTCCAAACAAATCTCTCTCAAATTCAACCCCCTCATATAAAAATCTCAGAAAATAATACCTACTTCTCAAAACTGCTGTGAAAGTTCAGAGTAAATCTGACTGTGTCTGATACGGAGGAGACACTCAGTAACCTGGTCGGATCAGAATCGAGGAGCCTGGACTGCCTTGCAAGCAACCCAGGTGCAGCGGAGGCCACACCTTCTCTCAAGGAGCCAACCGTCCAAGCCCCAGGATGAGCGAGTCACCAAAGAAGAAGAACCAACGAGGACGCGGTGCTGACGGGCCCCCATGCCCAGGACACCAGCTGGGGGCCCGCGTCAAAGGGGCCCTGAAGTCCAAGGAAAGGGGCTTGGACTGACTCCCCAGCAGGGACTGCAGAGGTTTCCAGTGGAGGAGAGGCTGGTCTGTTCAAGGAGGCCGGGAGGTCCGCAGGGAGTGGAGGCCGGGAAGTGGGTGCCACGAGGGGCCAGTTCACAGACCAGCCCGAGCCGACCTGGACCAGGCAGGGTCAGAGTGCAGGAGGCGGGCAGAGAAGACAACAGGGAGCTACTCTATCGTCCAGGAAATACTGCTGAACTATGTTGCTTCCCTGTGGGACCTATGATAACGTGGACGTCAAACACCTGCACAGAGATGATGTGTGACAGACGCACAAAGGAGAGGTGCTTGCCGGGCTGAACTCCACCTCACTTGGGAGAGTGAGGACACGCTCCTGAGGACCCAGTGGCTGACGGGCCCGAAGGAGGAGGCAAGGTGTCCAGGCGGGAGAGGCACCATCCGCATGTGCAAAGGCCCAGGGGTGGGAGCAGCATGGGGGACCCAGGGCCCGGAAGAGATCAACGCAGCCAGAGTGGAGGGAGCGCAGGCGGAGGTGGGGCAGCAGGACCGCCCCTTCACGGCCACAGCAAGGAGTTTTGTCTTTACCCAGAAAGTAGGCGACGCTGTCAGGGGGCTTTAAGGATGTGGGCACCTCTACAAGTTTATATTTGGAAATTTCACTTCTGTAGCGAGTAAAAGAGGCTGAGAAGGAAGGGGGAAGCAGTCAAAAAACAGCCAAAGATGAGTGTCAGGACATCCTTAGGTTCTTACAAAAGACAAGGCCACGTTCCTGGGGGTCACCGTGGCAGACACCAGGAGAGGGAGCCGGGCCCGCATGGACTTCCAGGGCCTCCAGCCTGTGCCCCTTTAACTCCACCTCCCACAAAAACATGAGGACAGATTACAAAGGAGTAACGACTGTCTAGGAAGGTGGCAATTGCTAAAGCAAGTACAGGGTAGGGGGCCAGAGTGGACAGGGTGGACCCAGGCCCACCTGCTCGGATCATGGCCCACAGGTGGCACCAGCTGCTCCGACAAGAGCCTTGGGGTCTCCCAGCTTCCCTCCTGCCTTCACCCCCAAACTGTAGGCCACCTGCAGACCCCCAGCCCCATCACAACATGTCCAAAGTCAGCCCTCCCCTGCCGCCACCTGCAGGCCCACAACAGCCACGTACCCGGAAGCCCCCCCAACCCCGTCCACCCTCCACACTGCCGCCCTCCAGCGGCTTCGCGTCACACTTAGAATGGCATCCCTGCTGGCCTGGGCCCTCGGCGCCCCGCGGCATCTCCCGTCACCTCTGCCCCCAGCCCTGCAGTCCTGCCCCGCCAGCCACAGACTCACCGGGCAGCCTCCGGCCGTCGCTCCTACTCCCCTCCAGCCCAGCACTCCCCTCAGAAACACCCCTGGCCTCTGAGGGACCAGCAGACCTCGGGCTACTTCTCACCAGGCCCTGTCACACCAGTGACTCCCGCCGGTCCCCGCGTCCCCGTCTGTGACACTCACCTGGGGAGACACCGGCCCTGGAGAAGTCTCCTCGCCCGGACTGAATGTGCCCCCAGTTCACGTGTCGAATCTCACGCTCAGAGCGGTGGTATGCGGAGCAGGCCTCCAGGGTGACCAGGCCCCGAGGCGGAGCCCCCACGGGTGGGCTTAGCGCTCAGAAGAGGCCGAGAGCTTGTTCCTTCCCACGAGGGCACGTCTGTCGCGGGGGGAGGGCCGTGCTGAGGGGACCCCGGCACCTCGACCTCGGTGCCCAGCCTCCAGAGCACAGGGAAACGTCGCCTGGCCCGTGGTGCCGGTTATCGCGGCCCGAGCGCCTGAGACACGGCTCCCAGTGCCCTGAGACCGGGCCCTCAACGCTGCACGGAAGCTTTAATCCCCCTGCGGCCCCTCTGCCTCCCTCCCCGCAGATGTGCTCCCCACACCCTGCCTGCTGCTCCCAGAAGCCCTGGAGGAACCTTGCCAACGCTCCCACCCCAGGTGGGACCACAGACCCCTCCCCGCCCTCCTGTCCCCCAGAGGTCCTTCCCTGTTTGACGGGGCCCCTGGCCTGTTCTTTCTCAATTCAACATCCCCTCCCCTCCCTGCACCTTTCCTGTTTAAGATGCCACCAAAACCACAGGGGCCTGCCCCTCACCCCGACACTCAGCTCTGTGAGGTCACACACCAGTGACCACGAGTCGCACTGAACCGCCTGTGATGGTCACTCGACTGCACCTGCCTTCCCCTTGGGTACCACGCTCTGGTTTCCACATGATTCGGCCTTCTCGGCCTCGGTGGCCCCGGGTGAACTCCTCCACACCCTGGCCCAGAGGTCCTGCCGACCCCTTGACGCCCTCGCGCTGCCCTGTCAGTTCTGCACGGGCCCGAAGCAATCTGATCACGTCACCACCTGACACCATCCAGGGACAGGAGCCACCCCACACATGACCATCGAGCCCCTGCTGAGTCCAGCGGCATCTCATCCTCCTGTCCCCTGGGTCTCTCATGCCAGCCACACACACCTTTTATTCCTTTTAATGCCCCCCTTTGGGGCCTTTGCATACGCTGTGCCCCCCTCCGCCTCGCTGAGTTAATGCCTCTCTCAGCTCAGCTCAGATGACACCTCCTCAGGGAAGCCTGCCTGGCCTCGCCCCGGCCTCGCGCTTCCCACTCACCATCTCGTCCCTGGAGCAGAGGCTGCATCCACTTTGTCCCTGCGGCCCAGGTGCCCCCCAGGTGGTAACCTGTGACCCACTCACCAAGTCCAGACCCTCCGACTTGGTGAATAAACATTGTTGGAACACAGCACACACACCAGCACACATCCTCTCCGGCTGCTTTCATGCGGCCACGGAGGTGAGCAGTTGCCGCCCCGGCTGTGCGGCCGCAGAGCCTGAATATTTACTCTCCGATCCTTAGACTGAAACTCTGCCACCGCGCCCTGGCTGTGTCTCACAGTCCAGCTTGTGTGAAGGAGAAAATGGAGGGGAGGACAGACCCTCAGGTCGCAGAGGACAAGAAGTGTCCTTCCAGGCCCACCCAGGGCGAGCGGGACCCCCGGGGAGGGTGCATGCTGCCCCACCCTCCTCGGCCTCCTTGTGGGCCGGGCCAGCAGGCCTCGAGGTCCCTCACCACTTAGGGGTGGCATCTGACTTTGGGGACCTTAGACCTTTAATGGTACACGGGGCCTGGCTTCCTCGACCTGGAGTGGACCCTGGGACTGAGGCGATGCCCGTCCCAACCACCGGGACGAGCTCCCCATCTGCGAGGCTGACTCTCCCTCCAACGTGGCTCGACCACCGTCACCCAGCCTGCGTCTCTTCTGGAGCTGAAGTTAAGACCGTGAGAAGACAGGCGCAGCCCAAGGCCTCTCTGCCTCCAGGTGCCTCCAAGGCCAGCCCTCCGTGGAGCTAAATGGTCAGACCTTGCCCAGTGGTGGCTGCTGTGAGCTCACAGAACCTTCCTACAGCACGTGTGCCCTGGCAAAAAGCCAAACCTCAGAGTCCCTCCCTGGAGAGGCCACCTCTCCCACTAGAAGCTAAGGAAACAGATGCCAAAGATGCAACACCAGGTCTCAAGACTCCTGCAGGAAGAGGGGGCCCAGAGAGGTGGAGCAACCTGTCCATGGCCGCACAGCACATGCTGCCTCCTGTCTCCAGGGTTCCTTCCCACACCAGGGGCGGAGTTCCTGCGTCTGAGCAGAGACAGAGGCCGGAACGGCCAGAGGAGAAGCCTAGTCCTCAAGGGCTGAGAGCTGCCCAGCCTCCCTGGGGGCACAGGTTGCAGCCTGGGGCAGCTGCCGACTGGCAGGGCTG